CTAGGCCTCTTTAAGTATTTTACTCCTAAATAGTACTAGTTTCTCTTCTTTTAGATTCCACTATCTCGTTCTTGTTTTTCTAATGCTTCTCCTTATGCTATATTGCCCTTTACTATGTAAATCTAGGATTGTTGGCCTATGTTGAGATGTTAAGCTCTTTTGTGGGATAGCCTTACAATCTTTGCATGCTAATCGGTCCATTTTTTTACTTAAGAAGTAGTCTACTTGGCTTTTATTTGGTCTGCTCTTATAGGTTATTAGATGTTCTTCTCGTTTTTTAAACAAGGTGTTTGCCACTACAAGGTCATATGCTATTATAAACTCAAAAAATACTCTCTCTGACTTCATTTCGATCACCATATCTATTTCCACAACAACTATGAACCCTCTCATTTTGTGTCCTATCTTTTCCTACATGTCTATTAAAATCTCCACCTATGATTATCTTTTCCCCTATAGGTATATATTGAACTAATTCATTTATTTGCTCCCAAAATTGCTTTTTAATATGTTCTTCTAGCCCTACTTGGGGTGCATAATCGCTAATCACATTAATTATATTCTCTTCGACTACAAGTTTGATAGATATAATCCTATCTCTTTTTCTTGTATCTGTTACTATGCTATCTTTTAGGCCTTTATCTATAACTATTTCTACTCCATTTCTTAGTCTATCCTTTCCTGTATTGTAAATCTTAAATCTTGTATTTTCTATCTCCTTTGCGTTCTCATCTACCCTCTTAGTTTCTTGTAAACATACTATACTAATTTTTCTCCAGTTCATAGTGTCTATTAATTCTATTGTTTTGTCGGTGAGTGTACCTATGTTCTATGTTGCTAATCTAAGTTTATCACTGTGGACTAGCTTCTTACCCCCCACGATCGTCCATGGCGTGGAGACCCTTGCTCATTTATCACCGCACCTGGGCGCCAATACGACGCCCCNTCAATTGGAGCTACTCCTACCATTTCTCTAATACGATCATTTCGTATTCTATCATTTCTAGTTTTTTCACACATCCTCCTTAGCATTTTTATTTCTGCTACACTCATTTTGTCACTATGTTGTTTCGTAGTTGTCTAACATTCTGTCCTATACAACATTGCTGTTATTATAGCTGTTCGGTTAACCTTACCTTTTTATTTTATTGGTATCCTTCTATCACATAATATGCCAGAAACTTTCCTCTACTTATACCAATCGGCGTTGATTCTATGAGTTACATCATTTATAATCTTTCCATCATTTTTAATGATCGATCTTAGATATTTAAATTATTTATTCGTTAGTATTTCTTGATTTTCAATCTTAATTTTCTCACTATGTCTATTTCTTCTATTACTAAAATTGCATTACCTATATTTAGTCTTACTCCTACTTATTTTAAACCCTCTCAATTCAAGTCTCTCTCAAAATTTTTAGGTTATTGTTAATCCCTCTTTAAGTTTCATCTACTAATACAATATCATCTGTAAATAGCATACACTGTGAGATATCATCTTGAATATGCCTAGTGAGTTCATCCATAATTAGGAATAGGTATGGACTTAGGGCCGATCTTTGGTATAATCCCACCGTGATCGATAATTTTTACTTTGTCTTACGGAAGACCTAATTGTAGTCATAATCCCGTCATACATGTCCTTTATCACCTCAATATACCTATTTTTCACTCATTTTCTCTCAAGCACCCTCCTTATTGTATTTCTAGGTACTTTATCATACGCCTTTTCTATATCTATAAATATCATATGAAGATTTTTCTTCTTCTCTTTATACTTTTCTATAAGTGTTCTCAATAAATATATAGCCTCCATAGTTGATCTACCCAGCATAAACCAAAACTGATTTTTTGACATTGTAGTCTCAACTCTTAGGCGACGTTTAATGACTCTTTTCCATAATTTTATTGTATGACTTATCAATTTTATCCCTCTATAATTATTATAATTTTGAATATTTTTTTTTTGTTTTTATAGATAGGTACTAAAATATTCTTCTCCAGTCATCGGACATTTTCCTAGTAGCAATAATTTTATTGAATAATTTCGTTAGCCATGACACCCCTACATTCCCTAAGCACTTCCAAACTTTATTTGGAATCTTATTCGGTCCTAAAGCCTTGCCTAATTTCATTTTCTTCAATTCAAACTTTATCTCCGAATTCTTTATTTTACGAAAGAATGTTTGATGCATCATATCATTTTCTATCTCTTCTAAACTCCTTGTTAAGTAGTTTATATTTTTGGTATTCCTTGTCTTGTGAAGGCTTGTCTTCTCGAGGTCAAAAGTTCAAGTCCGCCTTTCCCTTCCTCTTTCCCCTTTCCCTTCCATTTAAAAAAAAAAAATCTTTGGAAGTTCTTGCTATTTCTATAATTTTGCCATCTCTTAAATGATTTTTTTCTTTATTTTAACTACATCTTGTAGGTTGTTATTCTACCACCAAGTTTCTTTTTCTACAAGTCCTCTACCCTTTGACTCCCCAAAAGTCTCATTTGAAACTTTTCTAATGTCTTCCGTCATCCTACTCCACAGAAGGTTAGTCTCATCCTCTAGGTTTCACTAGGCCTCTTTAAGTATTTTACTCCTAAATAGTACTAGTTTCTCTTCTTTTAGATTCCACTATCTCGTTCTTGTTTTTCTAATGCTTCTCCTTATGCTATATTGCCCTTTACTATGTAAATCTAGGATTGTTGGCCTATGTTGAGATGTTAAGCTCTTTTGTGGGATAGCCTTACAATCTTTGCATGCTAATCGGTCCATTTTTTTACTTAAGAAGTAGTCTACTTGGCTTTTATTTGGTCTGCTCTTATAGGTTATTAGATGTTCTTCTCGTTTTTTAAACAAGGTGTTTGCCACTACAAGGTCATATGCTATTATAAACTCAAAAAATACTCTCTCTGACTTCATTTCGATCACCATATCTATTTCCACAACAACTATGAACCCTCTCATTTTGTGTCCTATCTTTTCCTACATGTCTATTAAAATCTCCACCTATGATTATCTTTTCCCCTATAGGTATATATTGAACTAATTCATTTATTTGCTCCCAAAATTGCTTTTTAATATGTTCTTCTAGCCCTACTTGGGGTGCATAATCGCTAATCACATTAATTATATTCTCTTCGACTACAAGTTTGATAGATATAATCCTATCTCTTTTTCTTGTATCTGTTACTATGCTATCTTTTAGGCCTTTATCTATAACTATTTCTACTCCATTTCTTAGTCTATCCTTTCCTGTATTGTAAATCTTAAATCTTGTATTTTCTATCTCCTTTGCGTTCTCATCTACCCTCTTAGTTTCTTGTAAACATACTATACTAATTTTTCTCCAGTTCATAGTGTCTATTAATTCTATTGTTTTGTCGGTGAGTGTACCTATGTTCTATGTTGCTAATCTAAGTTTATCACTGTGGACTAGCTTCTTACCCCCCACGATCGTCCATGGCGTGGAGACCCTTGCTCATTTATCACCGCACCTGGGCGCCAATACGACGCCCTAACTTATTTGTCGAAATGCTCTGAAGCAGGCGCAACGCCCCTAATTGATTTTTTGAAACGTCTCGAGGCAGGTGCAACGTGTCACTTATGAGGAACGACCTAGCATTAGCGCATATGTCATTGTTTGGACTCATCATAGTGGATCTGACAAAGACCTGAAACAAGTATTGATTAAGCTAAGGATCAAAATTTCAATTCCAAGTGGTTGAATCGGTTGAAACGTTTTCGTTTTCAAGGAGATTGAAATGAATCGTTGATTGAATCAAAATTCTAATGCTTTGAGATGTTTCAGAATATTTTTAGATGCTTCGAGATATTTCGGCATGTTTTCATCAATGCGCCATAATTTTTGGAGATGATTCTAGATTTTTGGATATATTTTGACCAGCGTTCTAGAATGTTTTTGAAATAAATTCTCAAATTTTTCATCGGTTTCCATTAAAATTTTGAAACGTTTCCAAAATATTTTCGTAATGCTTTTGTTTTGTAGGTGACTGAAAATAATACATCGAAATTAAATTTTGATGCTTGGATTAAGTATAGCATCCGTTGAGGTGTGGGGCTACTCATTCCCTGATCGAAAGCATCTAAGAATGAGGGGTTGGGTACATCCGAGGTTTAAGCACTCGAAGGGACCTGACGATATTTCCCAAAATGTTGTTGGACATCGATGAGTGTGTTGGCATAAATGGATGTCGGCTGAGACTGAAAGCCTGGTGGGATCCATGTTGTTAATGAGTAATGTAAGATAAATGTTAGATTGAAAAATGACACATTTTCATGAGAGTCCTATTTGTTGGTAATGCATATATAATGCTTTATGCCATGTTTTGAGCATGATATTGCTATGAATACATTTTAATGATTATTATTGATATGAATTTCAAGTTTGGACACCCATATGGGATGAGATTAAAACAAAGTAGTTGTTTTCCCATTGAGTGTTGGCTCATTTCTATCATCATTTTGTAGAATGAGACTAGGGGAAGAGGNGCGACGCCCCTAACTTATTTGTCGAAATGCTCTGAAGCAGGCGCAACGCCCCTAATTGATTTTTTGAAACGTGTCGATGCAGGTGCAACGTGTCACTTATGAGGAACGACCTAGCATTAGCGCATATGTCATTGTTTGGACTCATCATAGTGGATCTGACAAAGACCTGAAACAAGTATTGATTAAGCTAAGGATCAAAATTTCAATTCCAAGTGGTTGAATCGGTTGAAACGTTTTCGTTTTCAAGGAGATTGAAATGAATCGTTGATTGAATCAAAATTCTAATGCTTTGAGATGTTTCAGAATATTTTTAGATGCTTCGAGATGTTTCGGCATGTTTTCATCAATGCGCCATAATTTTTGGAGATGATTCTAGATTTTTGGATATATTTTGACCAGGGTTCTAGAATGTTTTTGAAATAAATTCTCAAATTTTTCATCGGTTTCCATTAAAATTTTGAAACGTTTCCAATATATTTTCGTAATGCTTTTGTTTTGTAGGTGACTGAAAATAATACATCGAAATTAAATTTTGATGCTTGGATTAAGTATAGCATCCGTTGAGGTGTGGGGCTACTCATTCCCTGATCGAAAGCATCTAAGAATGAGGGGTTGGGTACATCCGAGGTTTAAGCACTCGAAGGGACCTGACGATATTTCCCAAAATGTTGTTGGACATCGATGAGTGTGTTGGCATAAATGGATGTCGGCTGAGACTGAAAGCCTTGTGGGATCCATGTTGTTAATGAGTAATGTAAGATAAATTTTAGATTGAAAAATGACACATTTTCATGAGAGTCCTATTTGTTGGTAATGCATATATAATGCTTTATGCCATGTTTTGAGCATGATATTGCTATGAATACATTTTAATGATTATTATTGATATGAATTTCAAGTTTGGACACCCATATGGGATGAGATTAAAACAAAGTAGTTGTTTTCCCATTGAGTGTTGGCTCATTTCTATCATCATTTTGTAGAATGAGACTAGGGGAAGAGGGGAGCTCGGTCCCAGAGTTGTCATGAGCAGAAGCTTGTTAGTGAATATTTTATATGTCCAAGCAATATATGAACATAATATTATAATTGTGTCTGTTAACATATTACCTTTGGAAAGAATGTATATTTTGGGCACTTGAGCTATAGTATTATATAAATGTGCAACAGTGCATGATTGTACTTGAGGTTAATTTGGGAGTTCAATAGATGCTCTGTTTATCCAGTTGAAACATAAGTGCTTGGATTATGTTAAATTCAATCTTATCCTCATAAACTTTATTGATAAAGCATACAAAACATATTAAATCACCCCCGAAAATTGAGGTGTGACAGGCTTGGACTTGATACTTACCTTTTGATGTGAAGTTATGTGCCTTGTGATACTCCCCGGTTGGTGACATTTTTAAGTTTAGGAGTTTGACTGTTCTACATTTGAACAAGGGATCGCTAAAGGATGTGTAATAACTTAAATATCTACCCTCTCCGTCCATTTGAATTGCAATTTGATGCTAAAGTAAGACGTAATTATCCATTTAGCTACCTCATAAATCAAGCTTTCTCCACTTATTCAGATCTGCATGTGCTTAGTTCATTTATTAGAATCCAAAGTGGTGGTTCTAATGGGAAAGGAAACTATAGTATATTCTATTTTAGGTAAAACTCTTAAGGGATAAGATTGGTGATTGTTGATCATGCGGTAAAAAAATTTGTCCGGCTACTGAATAAATGAAGTATGTTGGTATGATTACCTATTATTGTCACATTTGCTAGGTTTCAAAGTGGAATCCATCAGTGCTGGTTACAAATTTGTCTTTTCTGCTGCAACTTATGAACTGAAGTGACGTAGTACATGTGGGCAAACACTTTCCTAAAGGGTATGACAATAAATTACTGTTGAGCAGCAGTGGAAAGGGGTCTTCTTGAGTTCTGACCTAGTTCAGGGTTTGTAGATGTTTATATGAATTTTGAAGGAAACATAGTACGGCAAAAGTGAGATTGGATGGGGTTTATTTGGGTAAGGTTTTGGTAACTTAAAAAATGGTTTGATGGCTGTTGACCGTGAATAGAAATTTGAGGGTTTTGGGTTGAGCTTTCATGGGAGGAAGTTATTGGGCTTGGACAAATGATGCTTCTAGGGTTGAATGCAATTGTGTGTGTGGTCCAATTGCATGGATGTGCAGAAAATCATGAGAAGGAAGAAGAAAATAATACCCACTCAACCCTTACAAGGGTTAGATAAAAGCACATACCGTGATCTCAACTTATTTTTTTGGGTAAAACATGATCTAAACTCCCATAAATCAACTCTATTCAGCAATAAGCTATCATCATCTTGCCTTAGCTACGGACCCCTTTTTTACTGTGATTCACATATGTTATGGTTGTAGTTAGTGGAAATGAGGCATATGCAATGCAACTTGGGCAAGAGATTATTTGGAATGTAACTTCAACAAAACTAGTTATCTACTGGCTATTGAGAAAGTAGCGAGGGTGACAACCGAAGGATTGAAAACAGTGAACATTTCGTGATTCCTAAGCAATTGTAACAAGGGAGTTTGATATTGCAGGGGATGTTTCTCATAACAAAGTAGTTCAAAGGTTATGCAGTGTTGTGCCATCTACATATAATTATGAAGTTGGAAGAAAACACAAAGAAATGGTTTTAACAACCAGTTATACTCCTTGAGGCATACCAGTGGACATTAAGAAATAGGATGTTCAAAAAAGGAGTGTGGTTGAATAGCAAATCTTAGATGAATGTGTGGAAAAGGAGATGGATTATATTGAAAAGGAAAACATTCCTAACATGATTTGAGCTGTACCACTTAGAGATATTGCTAAGTAGATGAGAGGGATGTTTGTTGAGTTGGAGGGAGTTAGTAATCCTACCAGTGAGGAAAAGGACAAGGTTCAAACGCAAGTGTGAACGAAAGATAAAACTAACAGATTTAGAGGTAATGAACGAAGGTATGGCACCATGGGGGATTATTTAAAATTGGACTTTAGGTCGAATGGGATCCAATGTAAGATTCACGTAGCTTACCAAAAATAGTTGGTCAAAGCTTTGTTCATTTGTCACCACTCACCAAGAAGTCCTATTATCTAAGCCGATTTACCTGCTCAGGTTATCTTATGCTTTGAATAGGCTGACGTTCTTACTGATTTTCAAATTTGAATATCTAAATGTTTCTACAAGTAAGAACTTCAATTTGTTCATGTTTTCATAAGTTTCTGGTCTTTCTTTTGAAGGGCTGTTTTATATTGAAATTTCGTCTTGAATCCAGGGGAACGTATGATGGATTATATGAATATGGATGATAGATCGATTGGGATGTTTTGGGTTGTGTCTTACACTATGGCACAGGCTGCTTGCGAAACAGTGATGAATTGGTTGACCTCTGCTGGAGTTGCAGAGCTATTACCTGGAACAAATCCACAGTCGAACGAGAGATTAACGGTGATGCGGGAAGTTAGCCCGTTGCCCATATCATTGATATCAGGTTTCTCAATCAACTTGTGCTTGAAGCTGGTTGTTCAGATGGAAGAATCTATGCTTTCTGGACAGGTAACCACTGTTATATCTGTTATTTTAACCTTTTGTTTTCTGCTTGAGGATGATATACCTCTATGTTTAGTAGTTAGGATTCATGTGCATTGTAGGTGGGAGCCTTTTTTATTGATGGTTTTAGTTGACAACTGTTTAGTAAGTTACTAACTATCTAAATATCTAAAGTGCTCAACTTAGTTTCAATCAGGATGACTTGATAGCAATAAATGGCAAAGTTGACTTTTTTAGTGATGATCTTTTCTTTTCGGATTGCATAGAGCATTGGCCTGTACCCATGGTCAGATGTTAAATATAAGTAGCTGTAGATATTCTCCTGCATTTAGCAGCAATGGTCTGTTACTTGTAGAAATCTTAATATTAGGTTATTCTTGAGATCCATCACAAAAGAGATGTAGCATTTCTGTTATAAAAATCAATGAAACTTGTCTCTTATGGTGAGACTTCAACCAGAGCAAACTTCCTATTATGGATTGCTAAAGAAGAGAACTAAGAAAATTTGCTAGATATTATTTCAAATTTGTACCTTGACTAGAATTTTCTGATTTTGTGTATCAGAGGGTTTGTACAAAGCTCTTGTATTGTATTCCAAAACACCAAGNCGGATTGCTAAAGAAGAGAACTAAGAAAATTTGCTAGATATTATTTCAAATTTGTACCTTGACTAGAATTTTCTAATTTTGTGTATCAGAGGGTTTGTACAAAGCTCTTGTATTGTATTCCAAAACACCAAGAAGCAGTAGCAATGGATTTTGAATCCAATTCCTCAACTATTTGTCTGCTCATAGATTCTCTCAATTCTCGGTGGTACCTTTATTTTCATGTTTTGAGGTCTTGTATGCCTGTGGAGCCGCCGTAACCTCCAATTGGAATATTAATTATCCAAAAAGGAAAAAGTTCTGTTTCTGNGTAATTTGCTCATAGATTCTCTCAATTCTCGGTGGTACCTTTATTTTCATGTTTTGAGGTCTTGTATGCCTGTGGAGCCGCCGTAACCTCCAATTGGAATATTAATTATCCAAAAAGGAAAAAGTTCTGTTTCTGCCAACATATTGAAATTAAAATACTGTTCAACGTATTTCTATTAAAATAATGTTCTGTAGCATCAATTATGATTGTTTTTACGTCAAATTTCATAAGCAAGGCCATTATTTTGAAAACTTGGGTGTTCTTTGTCTTTTATGCAAATCAAATGTTTTTTTGGAGATGAAGAGTAGTTGTTAGAAAAGTAGACCTGGACATTTACTGTGTTCCATAACCTAGATATTTTATTTGATGCGGTTTCACCAGAAAAAGCTGATGGCTTATGTTTGCTATTTCTCTTACAGCAATTTTTTTCTAAAATATTCTTGTTGTATTTTCAGTCTTGGGACAAATTTGCACATGCAAGGTTTTCTAGGCTGTATATTTTTTTGCGAGTNATCTTTTATGCAAATCAAATGTTTTTTTGGAGATGAAGAGTAGTTGTTAGAAAAGTAGGCCTGGACATTTACTGTGTTCCATAACCTAGATATTTTATTTGATGCGGTTTCACCAGAAAAAGCTGATGGCTTATGTTTGCTATTTCTCTTACAGCAATTTTTTTCTAAAATATTCTTGTTGTATTTTCAGTCTTGGGACAAATTTGCACATGCAAGGTTTTCTAGGCTGTATATTTTTTTGCGAGTTGGAGGTCATTTTTACAATTTGGAATTTTTTTTTGGGTTTTGTTAGCCATAAAGAGCCTCAAACTGGGTCGCGAGAAGCAGCTTCCAATATGTTAAATTTCAGAGTATTTCAATCAGCCTTTTCCTTTCTCCTTTCAAGTTGTTCTTCCTTTCTCCTTTCCTTTCCTTTGGACACGGCACTGAACAAGAACTAGATATTATATTTCCTGCTCCAGCTCACTTTTCAATGAAATAATTACATGCGCAAAGTCTGAATTGTTTTATGTAATATGAGTCCATGAGTTAGCTATCTATTAATGCACTGACTTAAGTCTTTTCATGCAGGTTGTGCCTAACATTGCAATGGTTGAAACATATGCTCGATTGCTGCNCGCAAAGTCTGAATTGTTTTATGTAATATGAGTCCATGAGTTAGCTATCTATTAATGCACTGACTTAAGTATTTTCATGCAGGTTGTGCCTAACATTGCAATGGTTGAAACATATGCTCGATTGCTGCTCATTGCACCTCATTCAGTGTTTCGTTCAACCTTGAGCGCAGTAATTTCTTTTGCCTTTTTCCATGAGAATGTTATAATTTAGAGACTATATTTATTCTCATGATTACTATATCATTAATATGTGTTTAGGGTACTTTTCGCACTTAAATTTTCATGTATAGGAATAATCGGCAGGGAAGATATAGGAATATCTCTGATTCTCTGATGATAATATATTATAGAAGGGCCATTGCTTAGTTTAATGTTTAAGTGCTTGGAATGCAGAGCTTGAGAATGCAGGTCTTGAGTCCAAAAATTGCCACTTTGTGAAAGTATGCCATAGATTACCTTTGTTTTCAGCCCACTCATATCAGCCACCTTCGGAAGTGGGACCAAACTGGGTAATGACTTTTTGGAGAAGAAACGTATGTCCTAGGTCACAAGAGCAGAAATGATGGTAAGAGCGAGAAAAAGTTTCACCGATTAAAGTGTACTTCAAGCGGAAGTGCCTGCAAAGTGTGTACGAACTCTTTTGGTGTTATACTTGGGTAAATATCAGTTAATTAAATACTAATTAGTTTGTTAATTTGAAAAGTAAAAAAATAGTGTAATATGTCGGGGACTCAACTGCAGCGGAATATAATTGTTCGAGGTCAAACGTAGATTAGATGAAAATGATGAGGGCTCAATTCTAACAATAGTATGAATCAAGGAGTGAAAATTCAATGGATTCGTCTCAAAAATGTCGAAACGTATGAAACGTTTCCGTTTCCCAGGAGACCAAAATGAATTAGTGATGGAATCAAAATTCTAATACTTCGAGGTGTTTCATAATGTTTTGAGGTATTTTGTAATGTTTCAATGCATTTGCACAATTGTTTAGGAATGTTTGAAGATATTTCAAGATATTTGAATATATTTCGACCAATGTTTTGGAAAAATAATTCTTAAATTTTTATTTTTTTCATTATGTTTCCGAAACGGATTGAAACGTTTCTGAAACACATCAAAACATTTCCATTTCCTTGGTGACCGAAACAATGCAGCGAAACGAAATTTTGAATCCTCAATTTCAATACACCATTGTCTTGTATTGATACAATGATTACCTTTTTCAACTTTGTCCCCATTGAGACACAATTCAAAAGAGAATGAATGATGGCGGTATGCTTTGAGGAACAAGTTTTGGGAGAAGAAGAGAAATAAGAGGAATCGTGCACATGGCCATAAGTACAGCGTTTAACAGTAACCTGAAGGTGGTTTAAACCTTACCATTCTCTTCCTTCCTTCCTTTAATGAACGAAGAAAATCGAGATTTGGTCCCAAAGAATGAAAAGAAGAATTCAAAATAGAGGGGTGTTGTATCACTATATAGAAGCTAGAAATTCTTTAAATCATAGCTAGAAATTCTTTAAATCATAGAAGTGGGCTGGGAAATAGGGGCTAGACTAAGTAATGAGTGTGGGTTTTTGAATCCACAGATCAAGGCTATCAGTTCATGAACCATTGCTGCAACAGAGGTCAAAGTGCTGATTTGCCTCCCTAGTTGGGCCGATTGTATGTGTTAATATATGTGCAAGTCCTTGTTATCTTTCACGCCTAAGGTGTGATTCATGAATAATCCTTGATATTAATGTAAATCTCTGCAAATGTTTTATAGTTTTTGGAAACTTTCAGAAATTCATGTGTCTTATACACCTTAACAATACTAACTATACTTAGAGTGTAGTTGCCAATTTTTTGCCTGGCTGCTGCCTTGTGCACCCCAGTGCTTATGGCTCTAATCTTCCAGCTAGTAGTTGCCCGGACCAGCATGTGCTGGATGCTTCCCTGTTTTTCCAAAAAGTGTCCTAAAGTTTACTTTGAATCTAACATTCACCCCATATATTTAATTAGTTTATGGGAGTAAAAATAAAATAAACCAAGGACATATTTGGATCCAGTAAGTAATACTGAACAAGAATAAAATTAATTAAAATATATTTGAATACGTTGCTCTCTTGCTGGTGTGGACTCAATTTAAGTAATACTGAACATGAATAAAATTAATTAAAATATATTTGAATACGTTGCTCTCTTGCTGGTGTGGACTCAATTTAAGTAATACTGAACATGAATAAAATTAATTAAAATATATTTGAATACGTTGCTCTCTTGCTGGTGTGGACTCAATTTAAGTAATACTGAACATGAATAAAATTAATTAAAATATATTTGAATACGTTGCTCTCTTGCTGGTGTGGACTCAATTTAAGTAATACTGAACATGAATAAAATTAATTAAAATATATTTGAATACGTTGCTCTCTTGCTGGTGTGGACTCAATTTAAGTAATACTGAACATGAATAAAATTAATTAAAATATATTTGAATACGTTGCTCTCTTGCTGGTGTGGACTCAATTTAAGTAATACTGAACATGAATAAAATTAATTAAAATATATTTGAATACGTTGCTCTCTTGCTGGTGTGGACTCAATTTAAGTAATACTGAACATGAATAAAATTAATTAAAATATATTTGAACACGTTGCTGCCTTGCTGGAGTGGACTCAATTCAGCGCTTCTCCCTCAAGCTTTAAACAAGGAGCATGAACTAACTCCTGGGCAAGTTCTAAAACGCCGTGTTTCACTGCACGTCTCAGATATGTATGATATCTATTTCCTCTTCTTCCTTCAGCATCCACTGTTTATTCCTTTTCTTCCACACCCTCGTTCTCNCTAAAACGCCGTATTTCACTGCACGTCTCAGATATGTATGATATCTATCTCCTCTTCTTCCTTCAGCATCCACTGTTTATTCCTTTTCTTCCACACCCTCGTTCTCATTATGTAGTTTCTGTTAAATCAATCACCACATGATTCTGAATCCTTGGGCAACATCTGTGCACTGCTTCACTGCCATATTTCTCATTTGCTCCACATATGTTTCTTCTTCAATGTAGTATGCTTATGCACAAATTGCAGATTATCGGAAGTGAATGAAGTCTGGAAGTATGTAATTATTTATTAGACGTGTCGAGTTGAAGGGTGATTGAGCACTGTGCTTTAGGTTGGTACCTGGGCCATCGAATAAGCACCTGGGTGAGCAACTGGGCAACAGTGTGGTTCATCCCCAAGGTCACTTGTGCAATTTGACAACTATGATTTTGCGAAATGGGATAAAAGAACTAAGAATCTCCTTTTTGTCTCCCTCTTTTTGACAGACAGCCTCATTGTGGTGGTTATTGTCATCCTCGTCATCATAATCACCAGATCATAGTTATATTGTTTCTTCTTTTCCTTCTTTTACTCCTCTTTCTTGTTCTTGGGATACCTTGTACCATATGTGTTCCCTGTTTTCATTCAATCTTGTTGCTAATTACAAGGATATCTTTTATTGCAAATAATTTGAGGAATGCTTCATGTGCAGTCTGTGCCATTAGGCTGTTAGGCTGCTTTCGGTTTGTTTTGAAGAGTTAGTTTATTCATTTCTGGTTATTTTCATGATTAAAAATGTTGTAAAGGAGTGTTTCTTTGTGGATTTTTCATTTATACGATGTTTAAATATGGTGGCATTCATCTGTGTGGGACACTTGATTTTCTGGTGTTTTGTTTCTTTTGTTCGCGCATAATGCTCCTTCTTGTGTTTTTACTTCTTGATTCTTACTGCAGGCTCTGACACAAAGGAATCAGAACACTTTGAACAAGCCTGGAGCATCTCTTTTGGTGCTTGAAATTCTGAACTACCGTTTGCTTGCACTTTACCGGTAACCATCTGGTCCATCTCATGGTACTGATATATTTTTGAATGAAGACTATTTCTCATATTATCATGTTGAGAACAATTTTGTTTCCAAGCTTTGCCTGTACAGCACTATGGTTGCTGTAGGATATTGTTTCGGTCAAATTGAGAAATCTTATTAATTATGCCTGAAGTGAAAGAGTTTGTTCACATCACATGTTCTTCCTTCTTTTAGGTACCAAGGAAAGAGCAAACACTTGATGTATGAGGTCACAAAAATGTTATCCATTCTAAAAGCGAAACGTGGAGATCATCGCATTTTTCGATTGGCTGAAAATTTGTGCATGAATCTAATTTTGTCATTGAGAGATTTTTTTGTTGTGAAGAAGGAGGGGAAGGTGAGAATCATGGTCTCAAACTTGCTAATCCCTTCTATACTGCGCTAAAGCTTAATATCATGTCTGTTTAATCTTTTCCAGGGTCCAACTGAGTTTACAGAAACTTTAAATCGGATAACCATAACTACTCTTGCCATCATTATCAAGACACGTGGAATTGCAGAGGCTGATCATTTGCACTATCTGCAGACAATGTTGGAACAGATACTAGCAACTAGTCAGCACAGTTGGTCAGAGAAAACTCTCCGCTACTTCCCTGCTATCCTACGTGATGCCTTGATTGGACGAATAGATAAAAGGGGCCTGGCAATCAAAGCATGGCAACAGGTACATCATATGACTTACAGTTTGCATTAAATTTCCTAAAATTGTACATTTTATTTTTTTCCCTTGTTTATTTGTTGAACTACTTTTATCTTCACATAAACTTAGACTTTTCTATGGCCTTAACTTCATTGACTGTGTCCTCTCCACTGTCATCTATTGTAGTTCGATTATTTGCATCAAAGTTTTGACTAGTCTTTAGAATATTTGATGGAATCATCTGGGAGAAAAAAATTTACAGGAAGAAAACCAAAATTGATGGGGAGTAGAATAGGTGGAGATGAGGGACAATGTAAGNGACTTGTCTTTAGAATATTTGATGGAATCATCTGGGAGAAAAAAATTTACGGGAAGAAAACCAAAATTGATGGGGAGTAGAATAGGTGGAGATGAGGGACAATGTAAGGGAAATTTGCCGAGATGCATTGTTATCAAGGATCAAAATTTCGTTTCGAAGTACCGTTTCGGTCAACTCAAAAATAGAAACGTTTCGGAAACATTTCGGAAACGCAATGGAAACGCAGAAAAAATATGGAAACGCATAGAAACACAAATGCAATCCATTAATTTATAAAGATATGCTAAATAATTTATTAATTCAACATATTTATTAGGTTAACATCAATTTATACAAGAATAAATTTAAATTTGAGGGAAAAAAAGGCTTGACTTGAGGCGAAAGTCACTTAAATTAGTTTCAAACACTTAATTTTTATGAAATAAACACATTTTTACATAATATTAAGGTCTTATAATACACATGAAATGCTAATGAGTACATACTTACATGGTTACATCCATTCCCCTGTGGAGTGTCGAGCAGGCTCATACATCGGTGTAGGCTCTGGGTNGTTATATTGTTTCTTCTTTTCCTTCTTTTACTCCTCTTTCTTGTTCTTGGGATACCTTGTACCATATGTGTTCCCTGTTTTCATTCAATCTTGTTGCTAATTACAAGGATATCTTTTATTGCAAATAATTTGAGGAATGCTTCATGTGCAGTCTGTGCCATTAGGCTGTTAGGCTGCTTTCGGTTTGTTTTGAAGAGTTAGTTTATTCATTTCTGGTTATTTTCATGATTAAAAATGTTGTAAAGGAGTGTTTCTTTGTGGATTTTTCATTTATACGATGTTTAAATATGGTGGCATTCATCTGTGTGGGACACTTGATTTTCTGGTGTTTTGTTTCTTTTGTTCGCGCATAATGCTCCTTCTTGTGTTTTTACTTCTTGATTCTTACTGCAGGCTCTGACACAAAGGAATCAGAACACTTTGAACAAGCCTGGAGCATCTCTTTTGGTGCTTGAAATTCTGAACTACCGTTTGCTTGCACTTTACCGGTAATCATCTGGTCCATCTCATGGTACTGATATATTTTTGAATGAAGACTATTTCTCATATTATCATGTTGAGAACAATTTTGTTTCCAAGCTTTGCCTGTACAGCACTATGGTTGCTGTAGGATATTGTTTCGGTCAAATTGAGAAATCTTATTAATTATGCCTGAAGTGAAAGAGTTTGTTCACATCACATGTTCTTCCTTCTTTTAGGTACCAAGGAAAGAGCAAACACTTGATGTATGAGGTCACAAAAATGTTATCCATTCTAAAAGCGAAACGTGGAGATCATCGCATTTTTCGATTGGCTGAAAATTTGTGCATGAATCTAATTTTGTCATTGAGAGATTTTTTTGTTGTGAAGAAGGAGGGGAAGGTGAGAATCATGGTCTCAAACTTGCTAATCCCTTCTATACTGCGCTAAAGCTTAATATCATGTCTGTTTAATCTTTTCCAGGGTCCAACTGAGTTTACAGAAACTTTAAATCGGATAACCATAACTACTCTTGCCATCATTATCAAGACACGTGGAATTGCAGAGGCTGATCATTTGCACTATCTGCAGACAATGTTGGAACAGATACTAGCAACTAGTCAGCACAGTTGGTCAGAGAAAACTCTCCGCTACTTCCCTGCTATCCTACGTGATGCCTTGATTGGACGAATAGATAAAAGGGGCCTGGCAATCAAAGCATGGCAACAGGTACATCATATGACTTACAGTTTGCATTAAATTTCCTAAAATTGTACATTTTATTTTTTTCCCTTGTTTATTTGTTGAACTACTTTTATCTTCACATAAACTTAGACTTTTCTATGGCCTTAACTTCATTGACTGTGTCCTCTCCACTGTCATCTATTGTAGTTCGATTATTTGCATCAAAGTTTTGACTAGTCTTTAGAATATTTGATGGAATCATCTGGGAGAAAAAAATTTACAGGAAGAAAACCAAAATTGATGGGGAGTAGAATAGGTGGAGATGAGGGACAATGTAAGGGAAATTTGCCGAGATGCATTGTTATCCACTTCCTTGCAACATGATGAGAGTGACTAACTTATGCCTACTTCTGGGGGAGTCAAACGTTTAGATAGGTTTAATTTAGTCTTTCATAATGATGTCAAACCATTGTGGAAAGGATCAAAGATCAAAATTTCGTTTTGGTGTAAAGTTCATATTAGCTCCGATTTCCATTTCGGAAATGGAATGGAAACATAATTTTTTTTGATAATTGTTTCCTAAACATTCCAAAACAGTGGGTTGAAAGACATTGAGACATGGGAATTTCAATATTCTATCATTCAACCTTTTCGGTTTCTATGGATTATTTTATTAACCTTTCCATCAAACTGCCTTGCAAAGGTTTTTGATGGCCATCAAGTAAAATAACATGTTAATTATTTATATAGAGGGACCAGTTAATGCCCGTGCCTTAAAGCATTATGTAACAAAAAAAATGGCCAATTAGAAGGCCTAACAATTAGAAGGATTGCTAAATCACAAAATCTCATGTGTAGTGAAAAAACTATAAAAAGGATTGAAGTAACTAAAAAAGAAAGTGCACTCAATATCGGTCGTCTAACTTCTACATATTTATGGCATGGGTATCACTAATATGTCGCCTAGGCATTTTAACACCATCAATTTGTTTAGATCAAGATTAGTTAGGCACTAGTGAACACAAAGCAAAACATTCTTTCAATAATTACCAAATATCAAAAACTTTGAATTTAGTTGAACAATAGCAGCAAAACCACAAAAAAGTGCAGCAAAAACCCATGAAAGGTTGTTCTACTTTCGTATTATGTCACTCTCCTATTGTTCAAATATTCTATGATGTTCTACTTTTGTAATATTGTAATTGTCTTCAATATCAATGTAATATAAATAGGTGATAGGGTGTTGGTAACATACATCCTACACAAAAAAGTGCAACAAAAATCCACCAAAGGTTGTAGTTAAAAAACTAAAATACACCAAAAATTGTTAAAGAATGTTATTTTCTTATTATGTTGGTTTCCTATTATGCCACTCTTAGATTGTTCAAATTTTCTTTTATGTGGTTTTTCTATTATGTTATACTTTTCTAATATTGTGATTGTCTTTAATATCAATGTAACATAAATAGGTGATAGGGTTTTGGCAACATACATCCTACAAACAACATTGTCTTATCCTCTCTTTATCAATTATTTAAAGATCAAACTTAGTATCAGAGCAAGATACTTGGGTGAGTGGGTTCAAGCCCTAGGTGAGCACTTCAGTTGCCTAAAGGTTGGGTAGGCGCAGCACACATTAAGTTGTCGTTATCTGCGTTTGTTCATCAGCTGGTATGATTATTATCAATTATTGTGGGATGCCAGAATCCGTGTTTTTGTCTTATCATGGGCGTGAATTTTAGTGTTTTAGTTTCGTTTACTGTCATTCAGTCCACCTTGGTGTTGGTTTGGTGGTTTTCATCTTGCATCACTTTTGGGTTAGTGTTTTTAGTCAGATTTTGTGCCAATTCAGTGGTTTTCGACTCAATTTGGTGTTGGTATAGTGGTTTTCATCATAAATCAATTTTGGTTCAATGTTTTTAACCCGGTTTAGTGTTAGTTCAAATGGTTTTTGTCCTAGTTTGATGCTTGTTTAGTGGTTTTCATCCGGTTCAATTCCGGCTTAGTGTTTTAGCCCGGTTTAGTGCCGGTTCGGTGGTTTTTAGGTTAGTTTGGTATTGGTTTTTAGTGGTTTTCATCCCGATTTAATTTCGATTCAGTATTTTCAACCCAGTTTAATTCTGGTTCAGTGTTTTTGATTCAGTTTGGCGCTGGTTTATTGGTTTTCATCCCCGTTTAATTTTGATTTAGTCTTTTCAATCCATTTTAACTCTGGTGTAGTGTGTTCGGTACAATTTGATGCTAGTTTAGTAATTTTCACCCTGATTTAATTAAGGTTCAATGTTTTCAATTCCGTGTAGTGTTGGTTTAGCGGTTTTTGACATAGTTTGGTGTCGGTTTAGTGGTATTTATCCTAGTATAATTCCGGTTCAGTGTTTTCGACCTGATTTAATTCCAGTTAAGTGGTTTAGTAGTTTTCATCCCNACTTGGTGTTGGTTTGGTGGTTTTCATCTTGCATCACTTTTGGGTTAGTGTTTTTAGTCAGATTTTGTGCCAATTCAGTGGTTTTCGACTCAATTTGGTGTTGGTATAGTGGTTTTCATCATAAATCAATTTTGGTTCAATGTTTTTAACCCGGTTTAGTGTTAGTTCAAATGGTTTTTGTCCTAGTTTGATGCTTGTTTAGTGGTTTTCATCCGGTTCAATTCCGGCTTAGTGTTTTAGCCCGGTTTAGTGCCGGTTCGGTGGTTTTTAGGTTAGTTTGGTATTGGTTTTTAGTGGTTTTCATCCCGATTTAATTTCGATTCAGTATTTTCAACCCAGTTTAATTCTGGTTCAGTGTTTTTGATTCAGTTTGGCGCTGGTTTATTGGTTTTCATCCCCGTTTAATTTTGATTTAGTCTTTTCAATCCATTTTAACTCTGGTGTAGTGTGTTCGGTACAATTTGATGCTAGTTTAGTAATTTTCACCCTGATTTAATTAAGGTTCAATGTTTTCAATTCCGTGTAGTGTTGGTTTAGCGGTTTTTGACATAGTTTGGTGTCGGTTTAGTGGTATTTATCCTAGTATAATTCCAGTTCAGTGTTTTCGACCTGATTTAATTCCAGTTAAGTGGTTTAGTAGTTTTCATCCCGATTCACTTTCAATTGAAGTTTTTATTGCGGTTAAATATTGGTTTTGTAACATTAGTTCAACATCTTTTTCGCTGATTCAATTCCGGTAATACTTGGGCTAGCTGATTTACAATTGTTCCTGTTTAATTTAGTTAGATTATAATATCGTTAGGTTCTAGGAAAGAGAGAAATAGAATAATGAGAAGATAGTAGTGTATTAGGGTTACAAAACTACACCCAGTTTTTATATATTGTCACATTTACAAAGTACTAAAGTACCCTTACTGTAGAAATAACATAATATACCTCTCCCTCAAAACTCAGCCTATGTACTTATATGCACAGTTGGTCCCAAGCCCGGATAAAGAAGGGTTGTGTTAGGTAACTGACAATCCGTGTAAAACTCGTTAGACCAAACATGAACATGAATCCAATGAATATTTGCGTAAATGCTAGGACATTCCCCATGAGCGATGCGTTGCACCAGCTTCCGGGTGTTTTGAAAAGTGGGCAAAGGGCGTCGCATTTTAGCCGTTTGGATGCGGTGAAAAATTTGCAAAGGTTCTGTGCCACTTGGGATAAGCGCGAGTAAAGAGATTAATTTAGGATACTAAACTTAGGTTAGCAACTTGGAACATAGGAACACTAATAGTTAAGGGAATGGAGCTAGTCGAAATCATGATTATAAAAAAAATTAATATAGCGTGCCTACACGAAACTAGAATCCATTACCAATTTACGACTGTTTTAAAACTTAAATACCAATATACAACTATTTTGAACTTATTTACCAATTTATAGTATTTTTTAAAAGCGGAATCAACAAATCCGCTTTTAACAATACAAACGGGATTAACAACCCCGCTTTTAATAAAAAAAAATTAAAAAGCGTACTCAATGAATACGTTTTCTTTTTCCACCAGAACACACATCTTTCCCTATCTTTCACTGTCAAAAGTAATGGACTTTTTTTATCGGTACATGCACTTCTGGTAAAAACCCGGAAAGCAAATTGAATGAAAGGATGAATGTCTTTTAAGTTTCTACAGAAGCCCAGCTCGGCTGGTATAGAACCATTGAGGTCAGAGTAAACAAGATTCAAGATCGTAAAATTTTGAAGCTTTCCGATGGATTTTGGGATTGAACACTTCAATGGGTTGTAAGAAAGATCAAGTTTGCTTAGCGATTTTAGATTTGATATTGTTTCCGGCAATGGAATAGCGCAAGAAGGCACAAAGAAGTTCTGGAGACTCGAAAGGTTGCCAATTTCCGACGGTAATTCACCAGAAAAGTGGTTGATTCCGATGCAAAGGTCAATGAGGTTCTTTAAATTTTTTATTTTCGGTGGAATATAGCCGGGAAAAAGAGTTGTTTGAGATGTCTAAAGAGGTTAAAGGTTGAAGCTTTGTGAAGAGAGTTGGAGAGAGAGATAACCTAAGAGAAAGCTGTTGCCGAGGCCTAGGGAAAGCGTATTCATTGAGTACGCTTTTTAATTTTTTTTATTAAAAGCGGAGTTATTAATTCCGTTTTTATTGTTAAAAATAGATTTGTTGATTCTGCTTTTAAAAAGTGTCATAGATTGGTAAATAAGTTCAAAACAGTTGTATATTGGTATTTAAGTTTTAAAATAGTCGTAGATTGGTAATAGAGTCCAAGAAACTAAGTGGGTAGTGGATAAAGCTAGGGAAATAGAAAATATAGGATATAAACTTTATTACCCTGGAAAGATAGACATAAATGGAGTAGGAATAATAGTTGATCCGCATCTTAAACAAGCGGTAGTAACAATTCTTAGGAAAAGGAGATAGAATAATATTAATTAAACTTGTAATAGAGGAATCCTTTGAAATGTCATGTCGAAACGTCCAAAACATTTCACATTTTCAATATACTGATACGAAACATGGGTTGAACGCCAAAATTCCAAACTTTCAGTCGAAACGTCACTGTGTCGGACTGTTTCGACGAAACAGTGTACAGATTTGCCAGCACTCTAGGCCAAAAAAAAAAAGGGAAACACTCATAAATCTGATATTTCCCAAATCAAATCTCAGAATTCACAGATCGTCCAAGCCAAAATAAAAAGTTGGGGGGGGGGGGNTGAGTGTTAATTAAAAGAGGCTTCGACTACAAACGGTGAGAAGTTTGAGAGCCACTGCTTAATTCAAATTATGCTAAATGTAAAAATTAGCATCTTTGTAACCATCCAATCACCTGATATGGGTGGGACCAATGCTTTCATGTGGATCCACAAAAGACAAGATCAAGAGTTTTCCGCTTTGGGTTTACTTTGAAATTTGCAATGTAGAAAGATAAAAGAGTAAAAAATCTATGTAATCAAAATTGTGCGAGTTTAAAAAGTTATAGCACAGTGCTAAAGTACTGGCAAGGATCTNAAATCACATGCGTTTTGGGCTTATCACACGATACCATGCTACGACCGATGTGTATCAATATTTTCCGAGTTGATGGTCGATACTGCGACCTTGAACTATGGTGAAAATTGTAAGAGATGAGAGAGAAGCAGGAAAGTAGAAATTTGAAGAAATGAGAGAGGCGGGAAAGTATAAATTGAGGGAAAGTTTTAGGCTATTGGATTATGTTGAATAACAGAGAAAGAGATCTCAACCCTTATTTTGGTCTCCTAAGTGTCTCATTTAAAAAACAGCTCTATCTTATTAAGATAAATTCTATGTTATCTCAAATCTGTCATTTCCGGAATCCTTATGTAATTTAGTGAAATTCTTGGCATATCTTATTCCAGTTGATTTTCTTAGGCTTCAAATTTAGAGTCAAATGCTGCTGATCATAGTTCTTTGTGCTTCTAGGAGTATATGATCTTGACCCTGGATTTGGGGGCTTTTAATGTCATTTTGAATAATGGTGGTCTCCATTTTTTATGGCTGTTGAATGAATCATTTAGCTCCATAGAATTAAAACTAGAAATTCCCTTACTTTCCTAGAATGGATCCTCTTACCAATTTTCTGTTTATAATTAGATAGTTTGCAAGTCCTTCGTAACCATGACTTGTTGCCTTTTGCTCAATTAGTTACTCAAACTAATAGATGGTCTCTAAACAAATTCGGACGATTTTAATGGTTGGTGTGCTAGGCAATTATGATTTCAGTCTCTTTTACGGTGATTTGGACTTTGATTTGGATTATGGAGGGGAGCTTTCCCATTTGGTACTATGGGTTTTACTATGTACAAAGTGTAAATTTGTTCATATTTAGACTCCATTATTGGGATTTTGATTATCATGGGATACTTGGAAAAGCAGGCCACCCCATTAATTGGGACTAAATAGGACTGTGCTTTATTTCCTTGGGAAAGCAAGCCTGCTTGAATGGACAAAGAGTGAATTTGATGAAAAAAAATAAAATTTGAGCTGATTACCTTTACTGTTTCTTGATTTTCATTTGTGTGGTTTGAGTGTTAATTAAAAGAGGCTTCGACTACAAACGGTGAGAAGTTTAATTCAAATTATGCTAAATGTAAAAATTAGCATCTTTGTAACCATCCAATCACCTGATGTGGGTGGGACCAATGCTTTCATGTGGATCCACAAAAGACAAGATCAAGAGTTTTCCGCTTTGGGTTTACTTTGAAATTTGCAATGTAGAAAGATAAAAGAGTAAAAAATCTATGTAATCAAAATTGTGCGAGTTTAAAAAGTTATAGCACAGTGCTAAAGTACTGGCAAGGATCTTAGCGGAGGGATAGGATCCGGATTTTGACTGTATTGCTGACATATAAAAGAAAGTTCCACTGAGTTCAAATTTTGAAACTAATTTCCAAAAGATTCACCAATGAAAAGCAATTTCAGGACTAATGGTATTCTCTTATTATTCAAGTAATCTTTGTTTTTCAAAGGGCTCACTTAATCCAAGGATATCAATTTTCTTGGCAGGCAGAAACAACTGTGATTAATCAATGCACCCAGCTTCTTTCACCATCAGCTGATCCTACTTATGTCACGACATATATTAGTCATAGCTTTCCTGAACACCGCCATTATCTTTGTGCTGGTTCATGGATTCTGATGCATGGGCATCCTGAGAACATCAACAGTGCAAATCTCGTAAGACTATATTACATTTTTCTCGTCTTGGCCAGAAATATGTTTGCATTGTGGACATCCCAAGATATATTTTACTCCAGTAATATGTTACATTTTTAATTCTCTCTCTCTCTCTCTCACATGTAATGGATTCCAAGGGCCGCGTCTTAAGAGAATTTTCCCCTGAAGAAGTGACCGCAAATATATACACAATGGTGGATGTCCTACTCCATCACATACATTTGGAGCTACAGCTTAGACACCCCTTACAGGTTTTGCATTACCATATTGCTCTATCTTGACCTTTTTTTATATAGATATTTTCTTCATCATTTACAATGTCGTACAGTTAGCCTTTTTTTTTCCTGCGAGTTTGTCTTACAATATCCATTCTTCAGGATCTTATACTAAAAGCTTGTGCAAACCTTGCATATTTTATTTGGACTCATGACCTTCTGCCTCTGGACATTTTGCTTTTAGCACTTATTGACCGTGACGATGATCCCCATGCCTTGCATATTGTGGTACGTTTGCTTAACAAATACCTCTAATTCATCTTCACAAGTAGCTTTGTCCACCTATGTATTAGTGTGACCATTAAATATCTTGTGCATGCACTACTTCTATCTTTTTTGATGGTAAAATATGCAACTTTTAATATCACTCACATTTCCGAGTTTGTCTGCCTGATTGATGATGTTGTTATGCCCCTTTATTTCTTCTCTAAGAACTGAAATACATTTTTATGAGTGGAATGGAGACTATCTAGAGTAATATTACCTGGATCAGGTATTTGGTACGATGCTTTCTTTGATATGTGATCCGGTGAGTAGATTTAGTTGGTTTGGTGGTTTGAGTTGCAATTCATTTTGGAACTTTTATTTGAATTGCTTTCAATCCTAGATGGAATTATATATAATCTTACATTCACACATACATAGTCAATCAATATTTTTTTTATACTTATGATGAGTGTATAGCCTAGTAGTTATGAATAATAACAATCGATGTAGGCATATTCTTATTGCAGAAAAAGTTACAAATTTTCCATCACAGCACATCAAAATATAAGTTTAAAGCTTACCAAAATAAATACGAAGAATACAATCACAAGTAAAATTTGGGGTTAGTGTTACAATTTATGGTTACCTGAATTGTGGTTTAGAATTTGGCATGTGAAATTTGGGAGCTCTTGGTCGCTAACTCACCCATTTAGGGTTGTGTGACCAAGATTGTGGGACCCATGGGGTATCTATGAACCTTGTGTCCTTGGTCTTGAGAAGTATTTATGATGTGAGGGTACGCAGAATGATGTTTTAGGTCAAGTGAGGAAACTAGATGACTTGGTACTATGGTACGGAATGATATAAGTGTCCACTGCTCTTGGTTTTTGATAAAGGCCATGATACAACTTAGATGTAGGCTCAGTACTTTCTTTGTGACAAACCTCTTGGCCATGGACATTAGGGAGCTCAAAATTGGGAACTTGAGGAAAATTTTGGCTTCCTAGGATATCAATTTCATCTAGTATAAAGCTGTTCTCATCAGTCATTAGATGCCCTTTTGCATATTTCATTACACTCCTTTGTTTACCCCGTCAACTTTAACTGTAAATCTTTTCTTCTCAATCTTGAACTCCATCCTCTGATATCTATGGTGACCAGCTAAATGGATGATTGGATACGCATTACTGAATGGAATCACTTTGGTTCCTTCGAATGTTTATTCAATAGAGGTTCCTTGGAGTGGTTAGAAAATTCACTAGGAAGTGTTGGGAGATGGAAATGGGACGACGTTTTCTTCAAAAAGTATAGGGGAGATGGATTTTGTGTGGGTTGAAAAAGAGACTAGTAGATTTTATGGAATTCGTTAGAATCATAAAATTGATGAATAATGCCAGGAGGATGAGACTAATCATTCCTAAAAGTGATGAATGAAGTGGATGACAAAGCTTTGGTAGGTTGTTAGTGATAAATATCATCAAATTAAGAAAAGAGATAAAAGAGAGAATATGATTGTATTAAAGCTTAATAGAAAAATATATACAAAAGGCCCTTATATAGTAGGACAACATAAAAGAATAAAAGGACTAAATTACCCGTAAGACTAAATATTCTAACTACTCTAACACTCTCCCTCAAACTCATGATGTGGTAGCNAAAGCTTGTGCAAACCTTGCATATTTTATTTGGACTCATGACCTTCTGCCTCTGGACATTTTGCTTTTAGCACTTATTGACCGTGACGATGATCCCCATGCCTTGCATATTGTGGTACGTTTGCTTAACAAATACCTCTAATTCATCTTCACAAGTAGCTTTGTCCACCTATGTATTAGTGTGACCATTAAATATCTTGTGCATGCACTACTTCTATCTTTTTTGATGGTAAAATATGCAACTTTTAATATCACTCACATTTCCGAGTTTGTCTGCCTGATTGATGATGTTGTTATGCCCCTTTATTTCTTCTCTAAGAACTGAAATACATTTTTATGAGCGGAATGGAGACTATCTAGAGCAATATTACCTGGATCAGGTATTTGGTACGATGCTTTCTTTGATATGTGATCCGGTGAGTAGATTTAGTTGGTTTGGTGGTTTGAGTTGCAATTCATTTTGGAACTTTTATTTGAATTGCTTTCAATCCTAGATGGAATTATATATAATCTTACATTCACACATACATAGTCAATCAATATTTTTTTTATACTTATGATGAGTGTATAGCCTAGTAGTTATGAATAATAACAATCGATGTAGGCATATTCTTATTGCAGAAAAAGTTACAAATTTTCCATCACAGCACATCAAAATATAAGTTTAAAGCTTACCAAAATAAATACGAAGAATACAATCACAAGTAAAATTTGGGGTTAGTGTTACAATTTATGGTTACCTGAATTGTGGTTTAGAATTTGGCATGTGAAATTTGGGAGCTCTTGGTCGCTAACTCACCCATTTAGGGTTGTGTGACCAAGATTGTGGGACCCATGGGGTATCTATGAACCTTGTGTCCTTGGTCTTGAGAAGTATTTATGATGTGAGGGTACGCAGAATGATGTTTTAGGTCAAGTGAGGAAACTAGATGACTTGGTACTATGGTACGGAATGATATCAGTGTCCACTGCTCTTGGTTTTTGATAAAGGCCATGATACAACTTAGATGTAGGCTCAGTATTTTCTTTGTGACAAACCTCTTGGCCATGGACATTAGGGAGCTCAAAATTGGGAACTTGAGGAAAATTTTGGCTTCCTAGGATATCAATTTCATCTAGTATAAAGCTGTTCTCATCAGTCATTAGATGCCCTTTTGCATATTTCATTACACTCCTTTGTTTACCCCGTCAACTTTAACTGTAAANAAGTGTCCACTGCTCTTGGTTTTTGATAAAGGCCATGATACAACTTAGATGTAGGCTCAGTACTTTCTTTGTGACAAACCTCTTGGCCATGGACATTAGGGAGCTCAAAATTGGGAACTTGAGGAAAATTTTGGCTTCCTAGGATATCAATTTCATCTAGTATAAAGCTGTTCTCATCAGTCATTAGATGCCCTTTTGCATATTTCATTACACTCCTTTGTTTACCCCGTCAACTTTAACTGTAAATCTTTTCTTCTCAATCTTGAACTCCATCCTCTGATATCTATGGTGACCAGCTAAATGGATGATTGGATACGCATTACTGAATGGAATCACTTTGGTTCCTTCAAATGTTTATTCAATAGAGGTTCCGTGGAGTGGTTAGAAAATTCACTAGGAAGTGTTGGGAGATGGAAATGGGACGACGTTTTCTTCAAAAAGTATAGGGGAGATGGATTTTGTGTGGGTTGAAAAAGAGACTAGTAGATTTTATGGAATTCGTTAGAATCATAAAATTGATGAATAATGCCAGGAGGATGAGACTAATCATTCCTAAAAGTGATGAATGAAGTGGATGACAAAGCTTTGGTAGGTTGTTAGTGATAAATATCATCAAATTAAGAAAAGAGATAAAAGAGAGAGAATGATTGTATTACAGCTTAATAGAAAAATATATACAAAAGGCCCTTATATAGTAGGACAACATAAAAGAATAAAAAGACTAAATTACCCTTAAGACTAAATATTCTAACTACTCTAACACTCTCCCTCAAACTCATGATGTGGTAGCAGAAAATATTAAGAGTTTGCCAAGAAGAAAACGAAAGCGAGTAATAGTATGCGATTTTATGAAAAAATCTTCTAAAGTGGAACAAAGAAAAGGGAGGGAGATAGTGCCTAACTTAAGATGATTATCCACAATGTGACAATCAATCTCAATATGTTTTGTGAGCTCATGAAAGACTGAGTTATGAGCAATCTGAATAGCACTGGTATTGTCACAATACATTGGAGTTGGTGGAGGTAACATAATGCCAAGATCAGGAAGGAGCCATGTAACCAAACTATCTTAGCTACAGTTTATGCCATAGCACGATATTTAGCTTTAACAGATGAACGAGAAACAATAGTTTGCTTCTTGCTTTCTCAAGAAATAAGAAAATCACCGAGAAAAATACAAAAACCCGTAGTGGACTCATGGTCCATAGAATCACCAGTCTAGTTAACATCAGAATAAGCCTTGAGTTCCATAGAGGAAGAGGAGGAGAATTACAAACTCTGGTGCAGAGTACCTCGAAGATACCGAAGAATACGGATAACTGCAGCTCAGTGAACAGTGGTGGGTGAGGCAACAAATTGACTAACAACATGAATAACATAGGAGATATCCAGACGAGTGACTGTAAGATATACTAAACTCCCACCAATAGCACAATAAAGCGTAGGGTCAGACAGGAGAGTACCATCAGAAGAAGAGTAACGAACATTGAACTTTAAAGGTATTTCAACTGTCCGATTATCTGATAAACGAGCTCATTGAATAACATCTAAAGCATACTTGGACTGAGAGAGAAGATATCCTTTAGGAGAGGAAGCAATCTCAATACCCAAGAAATATCTAAGCTGCCTCAAATCTTTCATCTCAAAATAGTCTTGCAACTGGGTTTTCAATAAGCATATGTTAGCAGTGTCATCACCCATAATAATCATATCATCATATAGTAAGAATAATAGAACTTGATGAAGACCGTAAAAAAAGAGCAGAATTATGGTCATTGGCACGAAAATTCTAGTCATAAATAATAAAAAACATTTTGGCAAACTATGCCCTGGGAGCCAATTTAAGGCCATATAAAGCTCGGTAAAGTCGACATACTTAACCAGGACTATGAGATAATCCAGGAGGATAAGTCATATAAATCTCTTCACTTAAATTTCCATGAAGAAATGCATTTTTCACATCCATCTGAGACAAATTTCATTGGCGAATGGCAGCAATTGCAATCACGGTGCGAATAGTGGTCATCTTCACAACAGGGGCAAAAGTCTCACCATATTTTATACCATACTCCTAAGCAAAACCTTTGGCTACTAATCGAGCTTTATACCGTTTCACAGAACCATCAGACTTGATTTTTATCTTATAAACCTACCTACCATCAATGAGATGTTTACCAGGTGGTAAAAACACTAGTTTTCAAGCTCTGGTCTTCTGTAAGGCGGACAATTCTTCATCCATAGCCTGTTTTCAAAGTGGATCAAGTAAAGCCCCCTTGTAGGAGGTGGGTTTAGATAAAGAGTAAATAGAAGTAAGGAAAGAACAAAAGATAGGAGAATAACAAGTGTTACTCCAACCAAACTTGTCTGGACATTTGCAAGAGCACTGAGGATAACGCGGGGTATGATCCACATTATCTAAACCTGATTGGGTGGCACGAGAAGAAGGGGGAGGCACCACATCTGTAGAGGAGATAGTTGGATTTCTGTGAACATATGTATGCACAATAGGGGGATGAGTGATGTGTACAACAGAAACAGTCATATCACCAACACAAGTGTCAGAGGGAACATCAGCCAGAAATGAGTCAATATAAATGAAATCAGATTTATGCAAATGTGAAGAATTTGATGAAATAGAAAAGAAAGAAATATGCTCCATGAAAATAACATGACAAGAGACATAAAGTTTGTGTAAAACAGGATCATAGCAACAATAACCCTTTTGACCTTCACCATAACCAAGAAAAACACATAAAGCTGAATGAGCAGAGAGCTTAATGCGAAGAATACTAGGAAGCAAAACAAAACAGGTTTATCCAAATATACGCAAAGAGAAATAATTATGTGACTTACCTTATAGTTTCTCAAATGGAGAAATTTCAGATGTGATGACTGTGGGAATAGAATTAATCAGTTGGACCGCAGTAAGAACTGCTTCCCCCCAAAAAGAACTTTGGACATTTGCTGACAGTAAGAGAGTGTGCTGTCTCCATAATATGTCAGTGTTTATGCTCTGCTACACCATTCAGTTCAGGTGTGTCAGTACAAGAAGATTGACAAATAATGCCATCAGATTTTAATAGATCACGAAAAGAATTGAAAGAATATTCTCCTTCTTGGTTACATCGAAAACATTTAATAACAGA